TGATGCATTTCCTCAGCTCAGCTGCTGTACATTATCCAGGATGCATTTTATTGCATGCAAATGCCGAACAGACTGCTTACACACAAAAAGTTGTTGCTGCTGTTAACATTTAAATATAATAAAATCAGTATGCAAATGTAGCCATTAGGAATATAACCGTATGGCTCCTTATTGGGTGTTTATTTGTACCGGGTGTGTGGAGGGGAGCACAGATTTTTTTTCACTGACTATTTGATGAACATAAAATTAAAAGGAAAGGCTGAAAGAGTTGGGTATGTTTAGCCTGGGAAAGAGAAGGCTTAGAGGGGACATGATTGCAGTCTTCAAGTATTTGAAGGGCTGTCATGTAGAAGATGGAGCGGATCGATTCTCTCTTGCTCCGGATTGCAAGACTAGATCTAATGGGTGGAAATTACAAGGGAGTCGTTACCAGCTAAATATCAGGAGAAACTTCCTAACTGTAAGAGTGGTTGAGCAGTCTGCCTCGGGAGGGGGTGGATGCTCCTTCGCTGGACGTTTTCAAGCAGAGGCTGGACGACCATCTTTCGGGTATGTTGTAGGTATGTAGGGCTATCTTTCAGCTGTACTCCTGCAGAGTGCAGGGGGTTGGACTAGATGACCTGCAAGGTGCCTTCCAACTCTAACATTCTATGATTCTAAAATTCTGTAGTACTTCTGGATGCACCTTTACCAGTGTTGGTCATACAACATTGTTTGATCTGTCTCGTTGAGTCAAGGTGCCAGTTACAAAAATTAAAATCAATCTCCTTCTAAAGATTTCAAAACAAAATGCATATAAAAAGTTGGATCCTCACTAAAACAGTACCTCCTTTCTCACAGAGTCAATGGAGTATGGAAGAACTGAAGCAGTTAGTCCAGGGCCCTTTAGTTAGTTCTGGGCTCTTTTGAAATTTTGAGACAAAGACTATTGGACATTGCCACAAAATGGCTGCCATGGAAGATGGGGCCAATCACAAAATGGATGCCATGGTTGGGGGGGGGCAATTAAGAATGTTGAGAGGTTCCTTCCAACAAGGACCCTCCTCTAGTGAAGAAAACCATTTGCTTTGGATTTGGAGGGGTGACTCTAGGGCATTGTACCCCACTGAGTTCCCTGTCCTCCCCAGGCTCCATCTCCAAATCTCCAGGAGTTTTCCAACCTGGATCTGGCAACCCTACTTTCCTCCCCTTCTGGTGGCCAGGGGGGTCCCATTATTAATTGTCAGAGAGATGCATTGTACTAACAAGGTAATGAAAGAGAACTAAGAAGTAATTGCTTAATAAACCTGTTGTCAAAGCATTTTAATTTGAAAGCAGTGAAAGCAACCGTGTTTTATATCGGGATACTTTTGAGTTTAGAAGAAGGGAACTATAGGTTTGTGGCACCTTAAGAGAGTTCAGATTCTTATATATCAGTCATGAATTCACTGCTGGAATGAGAAACTTCGTCAAATGCTAACCGAGGAAGGATTCGAGAAAAGCAAGGCAGAACATGGCCTATACTCAAGATATAGCATGGGGAATGTCTTCGGTTCTGACGAGATGCAAATGCTCGGATTTCACCCAAATGTTGGAAAGATTGCGGTGGGTTAGAACACTGTTGGTGGCAGTATAAATTTGTTGACCAATCCTAGGATGCTGTCATTTCTCAAATCAAGCTCATTACCAGATCCCCAAAACACCAGAACACATTTTAATCAGTTTACGGGATAATTCAAAAAGCCCTGAAATTAGACAAGATCTCATCACAATTCTTTTAACCGCAGCAAAATGGCCAATTGCATCCAAATGGAAAAATACCAGTCTTCCATGATATTGAGGAGTGGTATGTGAAAATATGGGAAATATTCCATATGGATAAAATTGCAGATTCAACCTCCCACTTAGTTTAATGGATAAATGGATCCCATTCCTAGAATTCATGGCAGAGGATATGGTCTTTAAGTGTTACTTTCTTAATCAACAATACTGTGGTATTATAGCGCTCCTTTAGCAGAGTTATATATTATAGTATCTTGACTTATAACATGGTAAATGATGGATAACTCACCTTTTGTTATATATTGTAAGACTTTCATACCTCCCCTAACTGTTCATATTATTTGATATTTCTTAGAAATTTTGGTGTTACTTGTCTATAACTTGCTATGATTGCATTCTTTGAAAAGTATTGTTTATATATATTCTAAAAATTCAATTAAAAGGGTTTTTTTTAAAAAAAAGAAGGTATCGAGACATCCAACAGTGACAAAGGTTTCTCAGCCTCAGAAGCTCACTAATAAGAGATAATGAGACGGAATTACTGTTTAGGGAGAATTGTTTGCTGTAGTGGTTAAGTTTGCGGACTCTACTCTGGGAGAACTGGGTTTGATTCCCCACTCCTCCACTTGCAGCTGCTGGATGACCTTGGGCAAGCCATAGTTCTGACAAGAGCTGTCCTTGAAAGGACAGTTCTGGAAAGAGCGCTCTCAGCCCCACCTATCTCACAGGGTGTCTGTTGTGGGGAGAGGAAGGGAAAGGCATCTGTAAGCCACTCAGAGACTTCTTCTTCTTCTTCTTCTTCTTCTTCGAAACAGAACACCTATATAGATTTCAAGTACAAGTAACCAAGTTAAGAAGATGAGAACTAAACGTTATGCAAAGAGGGGCGTGAAACACAATTACACATTCTTCAGAACACTGTCTGGATCTACTCTGGCATTTACTAAACAACTGACTCAATGAGGATAATTGTTTTCGGCATCAATGACAAAAGAACTAGCTGCCTTATACGGAGTCAGATCGCTGGACCACCTTGAAGCTATTACTATTTACTGCTACAGGCAATACTTTTTTGGAGTTTCAGGCACAGGACGACCTCAGCTTCACTACCTACAACCTGATAACCGGCCGTATCAGAGACTGTGCCTAGATCCTTCTCCATGCAAGCCACATCCTCTGTGCCCAAGCAATGATCCCTGCACCACTACGATTGAAAACGTTCACCACCTGGCTTCAGCTCTTCAGTCAGGGAGGCAACCTGCTGGCTCTGCCTACCACCACTCAGCTGGGCGGTAGAGGGCGACTGCAGGGAGAAATGGGGGGGGGATTGATCAGCATCATCAGGGATGTCATGATGTCACTTCTGGTTTAACCTGGAAGCAAAATCACCGCCTTGGCCCCAAACTGTATGGTTAAACTACAGAGTTTTGGTCAGATGCTAAAGTGTTGCCAGTGATGTGATACCATCTCTTCTTGCTCTCCTCCCTTTTGATAAATCTCCTGCCATTTGCCAGCTTTGGCCTGGCAACTCTCTCTTCAGTAGATGGAGCTGGGGAATGAGAAGAAGAAGAGGAGGAGGAGGAGATTGGATTTATACCCCGCCCTTTGCTACCGAAAGGTGTCTCAGAGCGGCTTACAAACTCCTTTCCCTTCCCTTCCCCACAACAGACACCCTGTGAGGTAGGTGGGGCTGAGAGTGCTCTGACAGAAATGGCTCTTTTTCAAGAACAGCTCTGAAAGAACTACGGCTTGCCCAAGTGGAGGAGTGGGGAATCAAACCCAGTTCTCCCAGATTAGAGTCTGCGCACTTAACTACTACACCAAACTGGTAGTGATAATGCCATCTGTGGCAGGGATCAATGAGGATGGGCGTTCACATTAGTCTGTGTGTAGCAGTAGAAAACAGCAAGAGTCCAGTCGCACGGTAAAGACTAACAACATACATGGCAGGGAACGAAAGCTCCTACCCAACCACAAACTGTGTTAGTCTTTAAGGTGCTGCTGGACTCTTGCTCTTGTCTACTGTAGTCGGGACGGAGTCCAAATAAATCCTGCAACATCTCCTGAAGATTTCAGGCCCCAAAGAGGCCAGGCTGGCTGCTACCAGGGCCAAGGCTTTTTCGGTGGTGGCTCCTTCCTCGTTGAACGAGCTCCCAGAGGAGATCCGGGCCCTGTGGGACCTGGCGCAGTTCCGCAGGGCCTGTAAGATGGAGCTCTTCCGCCAGGACTTTGGTTAGGAGCTGCCACTATCGTTGAGATGGTTAGACAGTGTCATAGATGCAACAAACATGAAATTGAGCAAACTTCAGAGGACGGCGGAAGATAGGAGGGCCTGGTGTGATCTGGTCCATGGGGTCGCGAAGAGTCGGACTCGACTGTGCGACTGAACAACAACAACAACAATTTTGTTATAATGGTTTTTATTGTTTTAACTGTTTTATGTGTTGGCGTATGCCTGTTTGTGAGCCGCCCTGAGCCTGCATTGCGGGGAGGGAGGGCTATAAGTTGAGATAATAAATAATAAAATATAATAAATATTGGTGTACCAGCAACAAAAATGGCCGGGGGGGAGGGATGAGACTGTGCTTGAACAGAGACATTAGGAGTAAGCTGAGGCGCACCGATGCTTCCTGTGTCTCAATATTTCATGTTGGTTCCTGTGCAAGATGCATTGTTGCATTGTTTGACACAGGTGTTGTGAACTGCCTACTGCTAGGGTTGCCAGGTCCTCTCTGGCCACCAGCAGGGGATGGGGGGGGTTAGCGGGGACAGATCCAGGTTGGGAAACTTCTGGAGATTTGGGGATGGAGCCTGGGGAGGACAGGATCTATGCCACAGCGTCCACCCTCCAAAGCATCCATTTTCTCCAGGGGAGCTGCTCTCCATAGTCTGGACTTGAGCTT